CCACCCTTAAGTTGTGAGTTGGGTATTTTGTTTCAGTGACGAGGAAGTAATCAACTCATTAATTAATTAATGATAGGTTTATACTTAATTGTATTCTAAAGCAATCATTACAAAAGAGAAGTTTCTTTTTCGGGGATTGAACTCAGGAATCTGCGCTTGCCAGGCAAGCACTTATTTTACTGAGCTATCATCCTGGCCCTTTTTTTTTGACAAAAGAAAATTTAGATGTTCTTTCCATATGCAGAAAAAATTGTGTAAAGAGATGAATACATTAAATTGCTTTATCTGGCAATCATATCAATATTCAATAACATATATATATGTATGTAGAGGGAGAGAGAGATCAATAACATATATATGTATATATATATATATATAGAGAGAGAGAGAGAATCTTCCCTTTAGTATAAGAATTATTGCATTTATATAGATAAGCAGTCATAATTATTATAGAAGTTATGTAATGTCAAAATTAAACGCAGAGGTCCTGAGTATGGATTTTATTTAAACACCCCTAAATTAACAATTTACACTTTTCATCAAAAAATGTTTCTATCTCTTAGTCATTTCTTAATTTCAACCTATTAAACCTACTCAGCTTTGACTTAGACCTGTTGATAACGTTTCAGTGTACAACACTGAGGCCAATCAATATGACTTCCCAGGATGTAAAAGATTGCCCACAGCATATCCTTCTGTCTGTATATTGCAGAGATGACTTCAGATCATCTACACAGCCCAGCTCATGGCGCTCAGGTCTTTCCCACCGCTCTCACAGTCACTTATTCCCTAGACACTCCCTTTATGGAGAATTAATAAAATGTGGGTTTAGCCCTGGGTCCAGGCTTCTGCCCTGGTTAGCCATAATTCTACTGGACTTAGGACACCCTTGGCTTTCTATAACCATAAATATGCTCAAACCATAAACTTAAAGCCTTTATAGGTAAGTGGATGCAACTAGAAGCTTTACTTATAAGGGAAATAAATCAGACCCACATGTGTAGATATCATATTGTCTCCCTAATTTAAGAACCTGAAAGAATAAATAAAGCCTGAAAAGTATAATAGATAGAGTAAAACAGAAAGAAACTGAATTTAATAATTAAACAATGGAGATGAGAGAAAGGAGAAAAGATAAGAAAAAAAGAGGGGGAAAACATGCAAGTATACATACAGGATGGCTGAGGTGATTGTAGTAATAATTTCCATCATTTTTGAAAATAGCAGTTAGTGTTTAGAATTTTCACCTTGACTAGATCTGTATGCTGAGGTCTGTGATCTGAGCAATGGCATCAAAGACAACAATGTGTAATACAAAAATCCATGGTTGAAAATCTCTCATCTTGGCCTTCTAAATATATACCATTTCTAATGTTTC